TCTTTGAAGCTCATTAAAAATGTATCTCCCTACCTCTCTGCATCTCCACAAGAAGCTGAGCAGGTCTCTGTTTTCCAGTTCTTCCACAACTGTAACCAGGGGAGCTCGCAGTGACACCACACCTAGGAGCTCAGGCAGGAAGGGATGTGGTCCGAGCTGGGCCAGGAAGGAAGCAAAGCCCAGGAAGTTGTGCCTTTCTGTGGCATTAGCCGAGTCTGCCAATGAGAGAAAAAGAAAATGCTGAATCTTGCACTGAAAACCAAATGAGATCTGCAAAACTCACAGACAAACCTCGGTGAAAATCTCACCATTTAGCACTCGCAGTACCACATTCCTGTTTTCCATACGGGCCCTGTAGATGGACACGGAGGAGTCTGTGCGCAGGGAGAAGGTGCCAGAGAGAGGCGTGACCAGGTTGAAGGACTCCGGGAGCCTCTGGCGGGGCAGCTCTCTGGGCTGCGGCGGGAGAGTGAAAGTGGGCTTGAAAATCTCCTGTGGCGGTGGGCTGGGATGTTGAGGGAGTGTCTCCACAGAATTGGAAAATGCTTTATTGAGGTAGGTGTGCGGGGACTGGAAGGTAGAGTAGGAATTGGGCATGTCCAAAGCAATGCTTTCATGCTCCAGAACATTGATACCTGATGGAGCTGCAGAGAGAATATAGGTTTGAATGAAAACACAGGGAGTAAATGAGACCATAACCTAGACACTATTTCAAGTCATGTTATTTAACATTTATAAAAAGTTGAGAAGCAGAAACATGCATGTGGTTTTGAACACATAAAATTGTAGTAGTTGCTTATATAAGGATTTTTTCAGTACTTATTAATGCACAGTATTTGTAAACTCCTTCACCTGAAGTTACATCTGCCTAACACAACATTACAGTGTGTTACAAACCATTTATTAAATGTTCGTGTTTGCTTATATGAGTTAAATAAATTAAACAGTTCCAGAAAAACAATTAAAATTTGCACGTCTCACAGAAGTGATCAAAATTAAAAGGACACAAAAGCTTAAAATATTATTATTGTATTATTTTTGTTCATTTAGATTAAATTTTATATAATGTTGTTTCATGAACAAGCAAATACAGGCCACAAATTTGACTTAAACTACCAATATCACAAAAGACATTCAATCAATTCAATTTTATTTATGCAGCCCCAAATCACAACAAGAGTCGACTTCATTCTTTTTTGTGTTCTTACCATCAATGCCATGCAGTATCCTCCTGGTAGTGACCTTTGACTTTGGACGGATACGATCGACCTTCTCTGGACAGAAGCGCAGCAGTAAAATGAAGACCAGAGTTATCAGAAAGCTGGCCAACAGGAAGACGGGCACGACGATCACCTCCTGTTCGTACACTCGGATCTCTGCAAACAGGGAATGTACACAAGGAAACGTCCGTCTTTAGATTCAAAGTACTTAAAGAGGCAGATGTGGTTATGCAGTCTATGCTAATATTTTTGCTCAGCTGACGTGCAGAGTTTATCTTCTATCTTCAGGCGAAGACAGAAGACGTCTCTCTAACAAGGGTTAGGCTCGTCAAGCCCCATAAATGGTCAGACCTGTTTAGTGAGCAGAAGTAGCCACAAAACTTACCACAGATAGCGTCTCCAGTTTTGCATTGAGAGTCTGCAGCTGATGCTGAAGACATCCTGTCACATATTTAAAAGAAAATAAAAAGCGATGAAGAGATGCAAGAATTTCACACAACCAGACTTCATACTGAGGAGGTTTTTAGTGCTTTCATACACTTAAAAGTTGTCCAGATATTTTCACAGTAGGAAAACCATTGATTTCTTTGTTATGGATGAAGTAGTCAAATTAGAATGTATTGCCTGACAGGCCTGTTGTTCCTGGAACAGAATCTGTTAATAGTAATGTGACTCTTACAGGTAATCAGTACGAGGAGGCATCTGAGCAAACAGGTAACTGAGACCAGAAACGTCAAATGTCGTATTGCTATCTGTGAGATATACGGAGCATTTCCCTCCTGCTACAAACTAGTCATAAACATAAACAGCCCGTCAGAGTTAAAGTCTAACACCTTTATTTTTGTCACGGAGGCTTTTGGACTACTTTAATCAAAGATGTGTATCAGAGAAAGCCTAACAAAGCAGTCCTAATGATTTATGTCTAAATTCATAGAAGCTCATCTTCATGAGCACGCTTTTACGTCACAGCCAAGAGCCTCCGTGACAAACCTGTTTACCTGCATTTTTTCATCACATTAGTTCCAGTGATGCACTACACGCCCAAAGGCCAAACATGATTGGCAAAACAGCACCGGCTCATTCACCCAGACTAAAAATAATACATTATGTCATAAAAATCACTAAAAGGCTCCAACCACACTACAGCCGCTTTCATAAAGTTAACATAGCGTGCATTAATCAGCTCACTCTTCCTACATGCTGCCACAAGGACAGGTCATGTGTTACAAACAGACAGAAGAAAAATAGGGGTCAAAGCCTTACCTCACCACCTGCAGTTTACTCTTAACAGCCAAACGAGAAATAATCAAAAGTGAAATCCTGTTATTGTGGTCAGGCACTTTTCATACATCTTCCCTGCTGAAGAGTCCGGGCTCAGCTGGGCTGTTCAGAGCTTCATTGTCTTGTTGTTCTCAGGTGATTTGTCAGGCTCAGGGGATCAATGCGCTCTCTGCTACTCTTCGTTCAGCCTTCTGTGTTTTCTTAACTCCACCCTCACCTGCTTCACCATATCCTTCTCCTATTTACTCCTTCCTTCTTCCTCCTTTCCACCTCCCTCCTCCTCAGAGTGTGCTGATGTGCTCTACCACATTCTGTAATGTGCTTTTCCCTGAAGTACAGCAGCGACTCGTGACCCTTGCCTTCCTCGTCTTTGTGTAAGGAAACTGGTACTGCTGCTCCTTGTAATTTTGTTTCAGTCGCTGGCCCTTTGTTAAACGTGTTTGGTAGTCTTTTGCTCAGAACTGGTATAACAAGCTCTGCCATCTCTAGTGAAAAGATTATCTTGGTCCAAAGAATTCACAGCAACCACATAACAGATTCTGTTTTGTGTTTAGTGCAAAATATTTACACCTAAAATTTTAATGTAGGGGGTAGAAGGAGAGTCTGTAACCTTCACTGTACAAAGACACGGTTACTTACAGTATATTTACAAGTAATTATTCATATGACAGCAATACTTGATGTTTGCAATATTACAGTTATTGTCAAGAAAACACGTAGTTCAAGCTAAACATTAGAAATGCTGAACACACACAGACTTGTGTTACTTTACGATACACTATGTGCTCACACACCACACATTAATCGCTGGCTCTCCACTCAGTGTGTCTTTTGTCCCGTCTTCAGCACTTAAACTCCCAACTGATCACAGCAGATGGCTGCCTGCTTCTGCTGGAGGTTTCTTCCTGTTAAAGGGGAGTTTTTCCTTCCAACTGTTGCCAAGTGCTCATCTGTAGGGGAGTCGCTTGATTGTTGGGGGTTTTCTCTGCGTTATTATAGGGTCTCTACCTTACGATATAAAGCACTGTTGTTGTGATTTGGTGTTATATAATTAAAAATGAATTGAACTGAACTTTATGCATGAATCATTTGATTTTATTCAGGAGTTTAACAGCCGAGCAGGAAAAGAGAGGATATTTACGCCCACAACAGGTCATTAATCTCACACAAATCTAAAACAAACAAAAAGCCACATCCTCTAACATTAATACCTGAATGCAGTTCAGCTGAGGGAGGATATGAAGGCCTCTGCTTGCCTACCTGTGAAAGGGTTGAAATTCAAAACCTGCTTGCTGTGAATGATGGGTTACAAAGGGATCGATGGATTAATTAATAATGACGTAGTAGTTCTCAGCGAGGTGACAAAAATCTCATCTCGTCTTTCTAAGAACGTCTGAACTTTCCGTCAGGAAAGGTGTTTCAAACCTGTGGCACAAGGGCCAGAAACGGCCCATCAGATATTCCAGTTCAAATTACTGTAAAGTCATTAGTTGTTAATAATTTAAATGAAAAGCCTTTTTATGGTGTTGTAATTTGATGCCAGGACTACTAAACAGGAAAGAAAATATATGAGAAGTATTTTTATATTTAGACGAGATCATAAAGGCAGAAAACACTTTTGCTCTGTTACAAAAACTTTACATATGAAGGTTTTGGTGCCTTGAAAGATTCACTCTTAAATGTAAATTGTAATGTACATTTAATGAATAATGACTCATTATTATTGTTTTTTTTTTTAAAATATGTTAACTATGAACATTTTAGAGGGATGTTTTTTAGGTTATCATTACCATAGTTTTACTGCTTCAGCCCACTCGAGATTAAACTAAGATGTACGGCCTCATAAACTATGACTCCTCCTGGTTTAACCAAATTAGCACTTAACAATATATTAACACTCAGGATGATATATATGTTAGATATCATCCTGAGGATGATATATTGGTCCAGGGTGTACCGGCCCCACTGCAACTCTGAATTGGTGAAGTGGAAGAAAACGGGTCAATATTTCAGTCATGAATGGAAATAATGGGCCAACTGACCAGCTGGCAGTTAGAAGACATTTAAAAAAAATCACAAATGTCAGCACTGGCAGAGAAAAAAAAAGTATCAGCTGGGACCATGAATATTACTGTAACAATAACAATAATAATAATAATAATGCTAAGGTTTAGTACAAGCTGCCAAAAATACTTTTCTTGTATTTCAAAGGCTTTTATTAGGCACATAATTAGCAGCACAATTGTATGATGCATTAATCACAATACTAGCAGTAGATTACATGATATGTCAAAATATGAGCACTGAGGTCTGTGAACACTGGTTGATCCTGGTAGACACACATCATGTGACCAAATCTACACCCACATTCGTTATTGTTGTTGTTGTTGTTATTAGGGTTTTTTATGACTAACATTTAAAAAAAAGTCATATGCATACGCATATTTCAACAGTACCAGTTTGGAAACTTGTTACTGCCACTGACAGAGCCTTTCACAACTTGGAAAACTGGGATTTTAATTCCAGAAAAATGAAAGATGGAACTTAATGACAAATCAAAACTGTGAGCAAATCGTCTTTAGATGAAAACAGGTTTCATTTTACAGCTTGGCAGCTGATTTGCTGGGTTGAGGTCCCAGCCATTTCTCTCCTGAAACAGAGAACAAAATGTGAATGAATAAGAAACTGCCAACAATAAGAAGGAAAAGTAGTGCCACTGCCAGAGTGCCAAACACTTTTTTTGTTTGTTTTTGTAATTTTGAAATCATAGGTGATTTACAATAAAAACAAAACTAGAATAACTTTAAGTGTTAGAGAGCAACAAGTTCAAAAAATAAGTGACAATTGATTCCTTAATATCGATTCAATATTCAGCTATAAAGAATTACTAAAAGAGCCAAAAGTATGCAAAGTCTTTCACTGACTACAAGTTAAGGTGTCATTTTATTCCATTTACTTGAGCCAGTTTGATAGTAAATTTGTAGAGATGGTAGAATCGTATTCTCACCGATGCAGTGGGCCATGAGCTCAAATCTGTCAGATCCAAAGAACATCTCTGGCTTTCCATCAACATGACACACAATCATGGGGAAACCAAAAGCCTGACAAGGATTTAGGAGGAGAGATTTGGGTTATAGCTGAAGGTTTGTTTGTTTTTCACTTTGCTAGATCTACAAGAGGAGCTGAAGGACAACTGACCCCATAATCAAGAGCTGCCTGTGTTGTGCTTTTAAGCTTCTCTTTGACCTGCGTTGAGGTGGACATGGCCAACAGTTCTTTTATCTCACTTTCAGACAATCCAGCTTTCACTGCTGCCTGCAAAAACACAAAAAGTCTCAAAATTAAATTGTGCTTCTTAATTTTGTTTTAAATGCAGCCAGGATGTTAAAGAGTCTGCACCTCAGACAGCGACGCAGGTTCAGTGATGTCTTTGTCTTCACTCCAGATTCTTCTCCACAGCTCACGGGACACATTCACCACCTTCTCTCCATCCTTTTCTTTTTCTTGCACTGCTGCCACAAATCGCATTGCAGCCAAGCTGCCTATAAGAAGAAGGAAAAAAAAAGGGCACTAACATGCATCTGTTACCTGAACCACTATTGACAAAATCATGAGATGTCACATCTCAAGCCTAATATTTCAGTAAATCTCTTAATCTGCAGTTCTTTATTCGATCTTTGGTGAAAATCATTAAAAATTTTGAAGGAGGGTTTCTTATGAACCATACAACAGTATCTGGAATTGTTGGCTCTCTATAAAAAGGGAAGTAAACTTTCTTAGGTACACACATTCATTGCAAATATTGATTCAGCCAATCACATGGCAGAAATTCAATGCATTTAGACACGTGGACATGATTAAGACAACTTGCTGAAGTTCACACTGAGCATTTGAATAGGGAAGTAAGGTGATTTAAGTGACTTAAAATGTGGCATGGTTTTTGGTCCCAGACTGGTCTGAGTATTTCACAAACTGCTGATCTTCTGGGATTTACAGAGAATGGTCTATATAAAAAAAAAAAGAAAATATGACAGCGGTAGTTCTCTGGGGGAAAATATCTTCTTGTTACCAGAGCTGGTTTTGTCTGGTTTCTTGAAATGTCATCAGACGTCATCCAATAGAGCACCTTTAAGATGTTGCGTAACTGGAGACTCACGTCATGGATGTGCAGCAGCTGTGTGATCAACATGGACCAAAATCTTTGAGGAATTCTTATGAATTAAGGCAGTTCTCAAAGCAAACGCGGGTCCTATCTGGTACTGGTGAGATGTACCTAATAAAGTGTCAAGTGTATATTGTGTTGTGCTTACAGCTTGTTTTGCCACAGCCAAGTGTTTTAAAGTATTAAATTAAATTTGCTTTGTGTTGCTTTAACACCATGTCACAACTCATGACTACGACATTATCACTTACCCAAACTTTTGGGAGTTAAGAATAGTAGAGTTCAGTTTCCCATATCTGAAGATAATCTGTTTTAGTTGCATGTTTCCCCCCCTTAAAAAAACAACAAAAAGTAGTAGACACTTATGTTTTTCTTTAAATGTGGAACTTCTGTCAAAATCAAGCGTCATTGCTTCAGTTAAAATGTCTTTAGGGGTCAAATAAGGTCTAATAGGGTCAAATAGCTTGGGGTCTAATAGTCCAATCAATAGACATTATAGAGCTGATTCTGCTTGTACCTTTCTGGAACATGACCTCAAAGGGGTCAGCAGGCGACTGCAAGGGGACACTGAAGTATTCTGCCAAGCGGTTGAGATCTTTTGTCATGTACGCGAACTTGTTAGGAACTAAACCAGGAGGCTTGTTGCCTGTCAAGAAAGAGAAATGTGAGAGCAAACAGAGTCAGTGCGCACCCGGATTTGACCGTGCAGCGTGTCCTGCAGCAGGTTTACAGGTGCCTGACTGATCTTTACTGACCCGCTCCGTGCATGATGCCACCCAGAAACGCAGGGCGTAGTTTGAGGTCGATGTTCCAAACGTTTCTGTAGCGGCACATGACCTGCAAACACACGAGATATTTGCGCATCTCCTAAACAAACCAATCTGATGCTGTGGTGCACATCAAGACGGTACAAACCTCGAAACCAAGCCATGAATACGGAGAAACTACATCGTAGAACAACTCCACAACTTTTCTGGAGGTCATCCTGGGGTCAGCAGCCGCTCTTTGAGTTGTTAGCAAGAGCTTTAAATGAAGAGCAACAAAAACCTTAACGGCAGCGTGCGAATAATTCACAAGGAGTGTTTAGTTTTTGGGGGCAGCCTCTGAGCAATGTTCACTGTGTCAAAGTTCAACTAACCTGAAGCAGAGCTGCTCGGGCTTAGCAGAAATAAAACTAATCGCAGCAAAGACCGCGAGCAGAAACCACTCGTTGTTTTTAACAGTTAGCTACAACCGATGCTATATTAAATGGTGTTAAAGACGGAGTTAAAAAACGATAGGAGGAGTTAGCCTGAGCTAGATAAATAACGAAAAAGCTCAGTGTCTGACCACAAGGGGGACCGAAATGATTTCGCCTACCTGCTCTAAAAGCTACAAATCAGGTGGTACAGAACAGCCAAAAGCCTTCCGCACGGGCTTCTTCTTCTTGAATGCCAGCAGGCAAGACAGCCTACATGTGCATTACTGCCACCTACCGACTTCGAGCAGTAGTTCACTCTCTGATAACCCTAAAGACAACCATGACGATTACAAACTTACGCGCCAAAGCACGGGTGTGAAACATAAGGCTCGGGGGCCTGGCAAATACTCCAAACCGGCCCATTGTACTGCTTTAGAAAATCTGAAGAAGGACATACATTTTTGACTTTTTATTGTATTTTCACAAGTTTTACACCTTTTCCTACTGATAAACACCTCTTCCATAGCTATTCATGCGACAACAAAGGAATAAAGTAATAGATATTTAATAAATGACAGAAAAGTGCCAGTTTTCCACTATCTAATATATATCTACTATAAAAATGTCCGTTTTTTTTTGTTTTGTTTTTTTTGCTATGAATAAACTTTGTCTTTTATAATTAAAAAAAAAACATCTAATTACAGAACTTTACAGACTGGCAGTTTAAGCCAGAAAAGTCATGATGACAGTTCATTTACTGCAGCAGCATTTCTTTACTATTTAGAAGAAGTGAGGTTTAGTGTTGAAAACGCACTTTTTACTTATATTCTGATTTATAATGGATTGAATATATAGTTAAACTTCTTTACACTGACAGCAAGGGGAATTTCACAGGTCCAGCTCACTCAAGATCAAAGTGGGCTGTATGTGGCCCAGAATATAAAATGAGTTTGACATCACTGAATTAAAGCATAAGCATGTAATAGTTATGCCATATAGTGCACTATAGCTGAAATACTTTTTTTTTTAAAACTTATGCATAAAAATGAGTATTTTCTGCATATGTAAGAGATCTGAATACTTCCTGTACTGCCAATCTTGCTTCTCATCACATATTCTTCTTTCTGGCTGAGTGCATACACTAAGTGATGACCTATTTAGTGCAGTTTTATTTGACGGACTCTTGCATATCTTATTCGAATCAAACAATCTTATATATTATGCAGTAACAGTTCACCTCCTTCTGCCTCCTTACCTGCATCATCACTCCAGGACAGAACAGCACGTCCCTTTATTTTGTTGCTTCATTTCATTGTTATTCCAGTGTTCTTGCCACACTTTGTTAAAATCAGTTTAGAAACAGTTTTTATTGTGCATGTGTTGCTTTTATCCACAACCACCACACTCAAGTGACGATTTGGTGTGAGCGGTCAATTTATCAATTTATCAATTTTTTACAATATTTAAAAGGTTGGTTCTATCCAGATGCTGTATTTGTGCTTTATGTTGGTTGATTTGTATATTTAAGACACCAAAAATAACCAAGGATTTTTCCCAGTTTAGGTTTTGTATGGTTTTTCTGTTGAGCAATAAAGCTGTTTTTGAGTTCACGTTTTGTCTCCGGAGTCTGCACTGTGGGTCCTCCAGACCTGCACACAGCCAACACCTGACAATAGTAACTGATTTTTCAAATTACATTTTATTGGTCTTTAAAACAAACCATTTATTTTCTACATTTTATGTTCAGTTTTAATTCATTATATCGTGTTGCCTTCCTGCAAATTCAGTCTCTGGCATAAACCCGATATTGTCTTATCATTTAAACTCTTGTCATCTGTTTTAAGTCAAAACATTTAAATTTAACGATTCTCATGAATCTAGAATATCACTCCTATAACAGTCATATAATTATATTTTATGCATTCAGAACTATTTACTTTTACAGTCTATTTACATACAGGTCATCCACCAGGATTTTAAAGTCTAACCATACAGGCCAGCAATGTCTATATTCATGTCTAAAATCTACAAGTACGTTTTTGCTTTTATATCTCCTCTTGAGGACTTGTTTGATCTTTGAGTTCAGCTGCCCCCAAACTGTCAGTGGGAGCAGGCAGAGGTCCTGAAGATTTGTCACTAAAAAGAACAAAAAGTGATTTGTTTTACTTCCTCAGCTCATACACAACTGAACATTTGAATTTTTTAGAATATTTTTATGAGTCTCACCTATCTCCATCTTTCTCTGTCTGTCAAGGAAGGTAGAGGAGAACATCAGTGCATTTAGTATGAATAATCTTATGACTTTATTCAAACAGTTTCCATTGCACAGCAAGCTTTTTCTTTCTTTCTTTCTTTTTTTTTTTACCTTAGCCTTCTGCGATGTGCTGCTAGCATTCTTCCTGGGGACCCCCAGATTCTCAAAAGAATGGCTCCGCACTCTGATGGCTCTCTGGTACAGGAGACAGAGGTAAGAACACTTAGTTAAAATTGTAAATTCAAACATGCAAGTATTTCAGAGAAATACAAACATTCACCTTAAAGTTTTCAATAAATCCCCCACTTCCTTCAGATGGCCCCCGCAGGCCCTCTGAAGTGGGGACAGCAATCAGTGATTGATCCCCCATCATGCACTGGGAACGGGTGAAGAGTTCAGCCTGCAAGTTCTCCAGGAGTGATGAACGAGTGCGGAGCTTTGTATGAGTGAAGGAGGGGAAAATGCAAAGGGCAGAGGTCAAAGTCAGAAGAATAAAAAACACAGATATTCAATAATGAAGTGCATCAGGGAAAAGTGTTCCTCCATCTACCTCCAGTCTGCTGAACTGCTCAGCCTTATAGCAGGATATCTCAGCGTTAATGAGTTTAGCCAGCAGAAACTCTCTGAACTTTGAATGCTAAAGGAAGGACAAAGGAAGACAAACCTTGTGAGATATTTCGCACACTGATTATACTGGTAAATACTGAGCTCCCTTAAATAAAGGACTGACACAGAGAGCAGGTGGAGCAGAAGCAACCTTTCACTAATTAAATCAAGGTGTGTTCGCATTCAAGCAGTCTGAATGGTCAATGACGTCCAAAGGAGCAAAGCAAGGCAAGACAAAGGTTAGACTGACATGTTAAGCTGTGTCTTTTTAGAGCACATATTTAGACCTGTAAGGAAGGTGCAGGAGTTACTAGTAACACAAGCTCTGTTTTAGTGTCTCAATAAGCCATGACAGTGTGGCAATGAACCACAAAATACCAGAATTCTGAAACCACTTTCAGCCATCATATTACTATTTACACCTGTGCTCACTGTGACGAGTCGAACTGACATGTCTCCACTGAAGAAGGTTTGTCCACTAGAGCCCTAGTCTGGACAGCAAGTATACACTTTAGGGCCACTTTGCCACTGCCAGGTTGGACCTCCATGTTTTGAACTAGTGGTTATTTGAGTTACTGCTGCCTTCCTATCAGCTCAATCAGCCTGAATTGTTGACACAAGGATGAACTCTTCTTAACTTTTTCATGCGTCACAAATTGTTGTAGATCTTTTGGCCACTTACTCTCAACTTACGTAGCATGACTCCTATTTCTAAATATTTTGTGAGACCTCAAATTATTATGTAAATCTTTTCATAGCATGCAATGGGCCCCTCAGTACCAAGCAAGTAGGAAAAAAATTTGGAAGATTTCATTTCTGTAGCAAGCTCTGCCATCCAGAGATGAAGCAACCACACCATCTCTGTAGGGCTACAAAAGCTATTAAACATTTGACGTCCACTGACATTTCTGGGAGAAAATCGCAGTGGACATCAAATGAATATTACTGACAAAGCAAATAAAGTACAATATACCTAAAAAAATATGAACTGGCTGTAGCTGTTGCATTAAAGAATAAATAAACACATAAGCAAAGTATACTGAGACAGATGAAACTCTGTTTTTTCTTACATCTGTAAAGACAGGGGGATCTGGAAGCACTGGACCAAAGGGAGGAACATCTTCTCTTGCCGTGACAGACACCTGCAGAAGACAAAAATGGCAGAGATTAGCAGAGATTGTTGCATGATGTCAGTTTATCACAGATATATTTGAATCAACCGCTAGTCTCATCAGCTGGTTTTCAAACTGCCAGGGCATTCGCCCCTGACTGCCACCCAGCAGTCATTAAACCTGTACTCTACAGTGCCTCCTGCAGGTGGTCAGCCAGCCTGTGTTGCCTGTTCAGGCTGTGTCTGAGTGTCGGAGTGGGCCCCGTGGGATAAAGCCTGGTCATCAGGCTAGCTCCTTTGAGCTTCCTCCCAAGGTACATAGTATTCTGGTACCTGATGATTTTTTTCTTCATCGGCGTTGTGTGAAATGCTCTTTGTCTGGTTCCCCAACAAGAAGAAATTTCCCTGGAAAGACCCAGTCAGGTTCAAAAGCTCCTAACAAATATAGCCCAGTCGTTCAGTCGTTCAGGACGGATTGAAAGCAGCGCTGCCGTTCTTCCGCACTGAGGTGGTCCAGGCATCTAATTTGGATACCTCCCTTCAGTGTACCTCTGGATGAGAGGGAGGTCTGGAATTCTCTGGTTAGGGTGGATGGATGAATGGATGGATGAATGGATATTTGTATCTATATGGCAGCATATAAGTAACAACAATGGCTTTGCAAAAATGTCAGTGTTAATGCTGTAAGACACCAGCACTACCACACAACCACTACATCACCGGGCCACCCAGCTGCTATATTCCTTTACAAATATGGTGAATTTATTCAATTTGCATTGATGGGGATGTATTTTGCCCACTTACTTGATATGCTGCTCCACCTGTTTCCTCTTGCCTCTGAATCCTCCGGACGACAATAAAACAGTGAAGGAAGTGAGACTTGATAACATCAGACAGAAAGGGGGTTTGGCCCTCCTGGCAGACCAAAGCTACGATGTCATTACCGATGTGCCTTTTTCTTTGTAGCTGTGCAGGGTGATGAGAAAAATGTTGGTTAGTGTCTAAAAATAAGTTGATTCGTCCCTCCCCACATAAACTTAACTACACATAATATCCTCAGAGAGACTCTCCTGTGAATCATCAGCACAAACAGACTGAGGATGATGTGATTAATGACCTGCTGTGGGTCACCCTCTGTGTAAGGCAGTTTAGTTGCGACATGAAACATGATTTCTCTCCCACGAAAGGAAGTGTAGACTGCTTCACTTCCTGTCTGACCATGACACACATCCAGTCCTCCTCTAAAGCTGAGAAAAAGAGCGAGGAGAGAAGAAACCATGTGATTTTCCACATTTCTTGTGTCACTTCTTCACATTGTCAGCATACTTTACCCCGTGAATCCTTGCAGCTGAACCGTCTCTCCCAGAATAGACAGGAACTCTTTAAACTCCTCACTTTCCTCATTGTTACCCAGTATGTCTTCCTCAGTGAGCTACAGAGAAATGGATTTCTCTGAGAGGGATTGGTTATGATATGGTGCCATATTTTAGCCATTTTTATAAAAATGCATGGCATTTTGAAGTAAAGCATCAGTTCTTACCTGCCTGTCCTTTTGGCACAAAACACCAAACTTGAAATTAGGAGAAACTCTGTGTTCATCAAATGTGGTTATAAGTTCTGGAGCCTGAGAGAGGAAGAAGAGAGAGTTGAAGAGCGAAGAGCTTCACAGAAAACATGCCGACATGTCACAGTAGGAAAGGCACAGGGAGAAAAACCGCATCAGGTTCTTTGTATTACCTTTCTGCTCACTGTCACACTGTTTGGGACACCCGTTTGTGTTTAACTGAGCCATTCTTATTGTTTTTGGTGACACCTGTGGCATTCCTCCTGTGATGTATGTGAAATATGTGTCAATTTTTCAAGTCATTTCAGAGCATATTACCTTCAGGTAGCAGACCACGTCAAACTTTGAGGCAGTCACTCGGTCACAAAGCATCTAGAAAGAATGTGAGGAATAATTATAAGTGCTTGTCACGTATTCGGTGCTTGAAAGTGAGAACATTTATTCATGTACTGAGGTTTGATTTTGGGGTATCTTGAGCATTTCTTTTGGTTTATTTCTCTGTTTTCTACTGCCTCTCAGACTGAAACAATACTTTTTACTATGCTGCATTTTTTTTTTACATATATATTACTCTTTTAGAAAAACTGCAAGATTAAAAAGTGCTACAGTCACCATCTGCAGTACTGCAAAAAGTGCTGTCTGCTCAGTAGCTTGTAGAACCACACTAGCAGCAGCAACTTGATGTGATTTGAAGTTTCTGTATGACTTTATCAGACTCTCACTTCATTGCTTCAGTTCTTGGATGCTTGGAGACATTCCTTTACGCACAGCTCTCTTTAACTCCCACCACAGCATTTCATAGTTTGAAATCTAGACTTTGGACTGGGCCACTGAAACACCTTTATTCTTTTTTTTATGTCGCAGGTTTGCTGCTGAGTTTGAAATGATTGTCTTGTTCCATGGCCCTGCAGTAGCTTTAACTGGCCAACCAGACAGATGGCCGCCTGTTTGATTCTCCTTTACATACAGAGGGGTTCATTGTCAACTTAATTACTGCATGAAGCTGCAAAACAAGCAAAACTATTACCCCACCACCACTGTGCTTAACAGTGTGCATGAGGTGTTTTAGGTAATATGTTGTGTTTGGATTTTGCCAAACATTGGACTGTGCACTGTGATCAAATACCTTCATTTTAGTCTCATCGGTCCAGAAGATATTGTTCCACAAATCTTGTGATTTACACAGCCGTAGCTTTGCAAACCTAAGTCATGCTGTCATGTTCATTTTAGAGAGAAGAGGCTTTCTCCTGGCAATGCTTCAAATGAACCATACTTGTTCAGTCATTATCTAATTGTGCTGTCATGAACTTTAACAGTTGATGTGCTAGCTGAGGGCTGCAGAGTTTGAGATATAACTCTTGGGTTTTTTTTTCTACGAGCATTGCACAATCTGACCTTGGGGTGAATTTGCTGGCATGTCCATTACTGGAACAGTGTGTCATTGTGTTAACACACACACCTAAAAACTGCCAGAAGTTATGGTTTTATGGAGGAAGTCAGACTTGCGGATGATTGTTTTAGCATCTTACTGTCTTAATTCCTATGGAAGCATTAAGGATGTGCTTAATTTTTCACAGAACAACATAGAGTCCAGTAAAAACTTTATTTTTCAGTGTAGTAGTTAGCCTTAGCCGCTCATCGTTTAGCTATTATGATGTCAGTGCATCCATAAAAATAATAAAACACATATGTAAGCTTCTAAGTACTTTAAATACACAGAATGTGCACAATTAATGCTTTTACTTGAAATAATAGTTTATCATTTGTGGTTACTATTTTGCCAAATAGAAATATAGGTATGATACAGTAAGAAGTTTGATACCTTTGCTAATTCAACTGCAGATGGCAGGGTGGGGAAAAGAGACACAGAGAAGACTCCATGCAGAGAACACTCCTTCATCCTGTGAGACATAAAGCACAATCATTATGCCTCCTTTTCTGTGATGCAGTTTCTTGTAATAATCGATCAACCACGCTCTACATTAAACATATAAACTATAGCAAAGAAACCTTAAAGATTCCTTTCAGAGATACTTTGTGAGATCTTTTGTGATGCACAGCATGCACACGGGAAGTTTTAAATGACCTTGTTACGCTTGTAAAAGTTGCATATTAAACCAGGATTGACTTCTAAAATGAAATTCTGCTTGTCCCATGACACCTTCACATCACCTTCACCGCCCTCTCACATCATCTATAATTGACTGAGTCAGGACTCTTCCAGACACTAAACCAAGGCACAATGTACATTTCAATTCCTTTAATTTTAAATATGTTTATATTGTCTATCCTGTAAAATAGTCAGATTCTATTCATATTAATGTACAGAATTCACCTGCTTGCTGCTACTACTGCACATTCACCCAGTGTATATACTATATGTATATATATATATATATAATGTTCTTCCTCTACACCCCCCCCAATTTTTGCACATGTCGAGGAGCGTGTCAGGCTACATTTCACTGTGTGTTATACTTGTATAACTATGCATGTGACAAATAAAGAACCTTGAACCTTGAACCTTGATTTAAGTCAGATAAACATTCCTCTTTCAGCATATGAATCTGAAAGTTTACACAATAACCCTAGGAGAAAGACATTTTGGAGCTGAGGGGGCATTTAAGGAGAAGCACAATTTTCTGTTAAACATTTTTGGCTGCATTGTAGCTTAGAATAAAAAATGTCTCACAGTAAGCCAAAATAGCCAAAGATCTCCACCTTAGAATCACCCTGAGCCTATTCTCCTCTTCCTCCAAACACACAGAGAGAACCAGCGAGCCCAAAGTTGGATCCACTGCTGTGAAAGAGTGATGGTACTGCGTGGCAAAAGGGTTAAAACATTAATATCAATGCAGAAAGAATATTCCTATAGATTTTACAGTTAAAGTCTACTTACTCGTGAGCGGAAGAACTCGTGATAGATTTTGGCCTCACCGTCTCTCTCCATGATGTCATAGCTCTCTGGGTCAACGGCATAATGGGAAGAGGTGGGACTCACATCTACCAGTCTGTCCAGAGGGGGGTCTATCCAATAGCCTCCCAGTTTCGAAGGAAGGATAAGCGGCAGCTCTCTCCCAGTTGTAGAAAGTGGAGACTGATAGATACAAAAAAGAACCTGATTGGGCTGATGTTTGTTTGGGGAAACACCTGTTATCATCAGTACAGAGCCTGTGTCACTTTTTTATTATTACTATCAAGTAGAGAAACCTTGAGAGGAAGGGGGAATTCACATCGTTGCTCATCGATCCTGCTGCCCTGATGGACAAGAGCTTTAGTGATTACAAACATCTGCTGCTCAGGCATTGATGGATGCACACACTGCACAAAATGATGGACACTGTAACTCACCTGCAGCTTCTCAATGATTTCAAACAGCTCTGATTCCTAATATATATATAAAAAAGTGAAATTCAAGTTGAGAGAAAGGAAAGCAGAAGCACGGGTGAGGAAGAGGAACATGACTCATATTTCAGTCTTTCTCTAAACGGACTTCTAGAAATGTAGAACATGGATATTCATCCCTTAGAGTGAATTAAAATTAAAGCGAGAAAGTGCACACTAAAAATGATAAGGATGTCACCTTCTGGTTGCTGCTGGAAGAACGGAAAGGCTTGCGCTCACTGGTAGGAGAATCCAGGGTGTCCAGACTTTTGTCCTGCACGAATTCAGGTCTGCAGCAACAGGTTGGTTTACACAGCAAGACAGCACAGTTAGTAACTCCTTACATTATACAGGAAAGGTTAACATGTTAACTCGAAAAAGCTGCAGTAGAGAGGAAAATAAAGCCTCACCCCGTCTCATCCCCACATGTGAATCTATCCACACTGTAAACAAGGAAGTAAGAGCTTTTCAGAAACTTCTGCATAAACAGACAAGATGACTTAAATCTAAAAAAAGTGCCGTTTGTTCAGGTTGTGCCGCTGCTCCAAGGACAATGCCAGTCCTAATTTAAGACTAACAGTGTCTTTACTTACCTGCCATATGCCCCAAAAGTGAAACTTCTCTTTCTAGAGTAGGACATATCATTCCTCTTTTCTCTCTCCATGCCTTTGGTGTCACTGTGAATGTTTGTACATGCCAGTTTGGTGCTGAGTCAATCAGGGCTGGCTAAGGTTGAATTAATTCACTTTATCATTCTGTCACTCCTCTTCCTCCTCCTCTGCCCCCTGCCATTCACTCATTTAAGCTTCCCTTTCCTGCCTCTGTCCTGCTGTCAGCCAGACAGGCAGCATTAACCCGCTCGTGGTCACAGGTGCAGCCGCCGCCGCTAACTGTAAGATGGACACGGTCAGGTGCTCCACGCTGCTTCGCGCTATCGATCCCGAGTGACGCTTGTGGTAGTTTCACAGACCGGCTGAGCTTAAAGATAGGCGTGTAAATAAATAAAGAAATGAGTGAGACATTTTCTCCCGGACCTGCTACCCTTTGAGTCAGTGAGAATCATCAATTATTGACAGGTCACACAGTGAGGGTGAGGAGATAGACAGCAGGGGAGGGTGAAGGAGGGAGTGACAGAGAGAGAGGGATGGAAAAGGAAGTAAGAAAGCGAGAAAAACAGAAAGGCAGGAATACATGCAATGCAAAGCACTCACCTGTTGGTTCTAATGCATTAATGGTTGCTGTCTGTCTCTGTGTTTGTCATAATGTGTGTGTAACTCTGATGCCTTATTGTAAAATACGCCCAGTAAGAATAAATTGTACCAGAAATGTTCCTCCATTAGTTTTATGTGATTCGTCATATTTTATTCATTAAAATGATTTATTTAGTATGGTTTTATTGCACTAATTATTTTCGTATTTACAGTTATTTTAGTTCATGGTTCTCAACGTTGGAGCTTGTAATATTATTACTGAACTGGGAAAGAAGAAAAGAAACCTCTGGTACAACAATTTGGATTCAAAATTGTAAACTTTATTCTGAGTATTGCTTTTTCATGAGCAGATGGACTAACTTTCTAAATTTCAATCACCAGCTCAAATAAAGCTATGACATTTAAGTGAAATATCTCTTTGAGGGAACTGCAATGGCAAACATTAAAGAATAATTTAAAAAGGAAAACAGGTGGCTTCCTTTCACACACAAACTTTGCAATGTATACAAGAATGCTCTGTTTAAAATGTCAATTTTATATATTTAAACAGCTAAACAGATAGGTTTAGCTATCAAGTAATCATGGTTGAGTGAAAAACATAGAGTACTCAAGTATAAGGGATATGACTGACAGAAAAAGATGCACCTCCACTGAACTGGACACTTCTGAAGCTGTGGTGGAAGTCACTGAGCAAACTGTTATCAATCATGACCACCTTCTGCACCACTTCCTGGACAGGCAGCAAATCACCTCCTCTTACGGACTGATAATTTCATGCCACATTTTGTCACCCTGTATGATTAAAGTCCACTCTACCTTTTATCATTAGTGTGTCCCACACTTATTTTGTTCCCCCTCACTGCAAACGTGTGTCTCAATTTCCTTATCATATTTCAAAATTTCCTGTTCCTCTTGTTGTGGCTAGAAGCAAGTTTTGTGTTTTTGTTTGTTTGTTTGAAAAAGTACAGAACTGTAATAACAGAACTGTTATAACAAAATAATTTCCCAAATCTGGGATAAATTCATTATTTCTTAGTTCTTATTATTTGGTATTTTAACATTTGTTAAATATCAATGGAGCTTGTTTTTCCCCTTTATACTAAAAAACTGACATCAGGTTGTTTTGAATATCAGATTGTAACTGGAGGCAGGACCTTACATTACAACTTATCCTGCCATTGCTCATTTACAAACTCAAATTTTAAACCCAAGTTTCAAGTTTTATTGTCATGTACAGATAAACAGTGTAGCCACATTTATCCACAATGAAATTCTTTGGCTCGTGCTCCTCAGCTTTAAATGAGCATATAGAGAGTGTGCAGCAACCCTGCTGCAAATATGTGACCTTTAAGTGTCTTTACACTCCTCCTTTTTAAATAGCTCTCTATTCGAGAGGCCTTTGTGCCTGCCTTCTTATCAATTGGTTGCTTATTAACTGAAATGAGATTCAAATTCAAAATACCCTTATTTCTGTTGTTCACACAGCAGTTTACTGTACGGTTAAGATGCCATTAAGAAGAAAAGAAGAAACGATTGGTTCACTGAAACGTCACTCAAACTGTACACCGCTTTCATTGGTCAGAATCCAACTCGAAGAGTCTGATGGTCTGTTTACCCCGCGGAAGTTCGTCTGTGGCTTGTAGACGGGATGTTGTTAGTTTGCGTTTAGTAAAGGGACTTACGGAGACATTTTGCTCATTTTTAGGGTGTGTTGATAGTCTGTTGCAGGAACAGAAGAGAGGTAAGTAGTGGGGATGCGGGGAGTCATATTAAACCCACTTCAGTGCAGAGAAAGTCGAAGTTAGCTAGCTAGTTAGCTAGCGTTTATCACCATCACCCAACACCATTTAGATTAGCGTAACTTCTCTTTTATTGTAACTCAGCATAGTAAACTTACATTGCTAATATTATACTTCCATTATTTTTCCTCTTTATCTTATTATTTGGTAGATACTTTACTGAGTTTACCATTGTATTGTTCAGCTTCTGTTGTTACTGGTTTATTATTGCTGGCTCAAAGAGTGCCTCATGGTAACGTTATCGCTTGTGTTGTATTTTGTTATAAGGGTGTAACTGAGGAGCCAAGCTAATAAAGTGACTGTTCCCAGTGTTGGACAAAAACGTCCATATGCTTGTATTGTTCACAATGTTCGTGTATCTTGTTACCTGCTCTGGATACAGTTTTTGAGGGGAAAAATGTTGGAGTGTGGCATGATGGAGCGGGACAGGCAGGCTCTCCGAAGAAACTCAGCTATCCTGTGCAGACAGCTGGTGGTGGATGAGCTGCTCATTCAGTCACTGCAGGCAGACGACATCCTCACGGAGAGCATGGCAGAGAGCATTATGGTATGTGGATAATAACTACTATATTAACAGTGAGACAGCTGATTCTTAACAGTTATGTGACTTTGAGTTACCTTCAGTTTGCTTAAATTGAAGTTAACTTGGCTGTCAGCAACTTTGCTGAAGGTTATGGTCAGTTTTTAGCTTGTGGTTTAAATGTATGTGGGAGTCAGAACCTCTAATCCTCCCATGAAATAGCTGTTAAGTAAAAGGTGACTACAGAAATGTTTCCTGCAGTTTTACAGGAACTACCACCATTTCTGCACTCTGGCAGCTAGTATAGGCTCCAGTGGCAGAGAAAACATGAGTTAGATAGGTAGTTAATAAAGTAGATGATTAATTCTACAATTAAAAAGATCTCTCACAGTCAAATCCATAAAGTTCGACAGTGATATAGTTTATAGTATAGTATAATATTTTTCTTTCAGCATGCTAACGCTTTTGATTAGAAATAAAGCAGTCATGATGTGATTGATGGATCCTTCTACATCTATTATCACAGCAAATTATCAACACTGCCTATTCAGTGATGAGTAGTTGTGCTTTGAATGAGGCCTTCATCTTCTGTGCTGTGATTTAGGTACACTTTAATTAGGTTTATCTGTCCCAGAGAAGTTTTGGGTTTTCTAGTTAAGTATAATCTAAATGTATACTCTTATTCTCCTTTAAAGTCCGTCACCTCAGGTATTTACATAGTTGGTTCACTGTAATGTAAATTCTCCTCAGATGATTCTGCATAGTCACAAAATGCAGGCGGGCACGTGGCTGTCCACGTGGCCACTCACGCTCTCCATCAGATGACAAAATTTACTTCATTCAGACCTGAGCGGAGTCACAGAAATGGAAAATATAATTATGAAAATTGAACACATTTTAATTCTGTCATTCTGCAAGCTTTTTTAATAGCTATGTAATGTTTTTACAGCCTAATAAAACCCTTCATATTTATTTATCATTGGATGCATATATAGACTAACTGCAAAGTCAGCACTTAAAATCTCTACATGCTTTTTATTATTTTGATTTGGTAATTGAAATAATTAGGGAACATGCCACACCTGTTCTAAATACTTCAAGCATGTGAAAGATGTGTAACAATGCAAGAAATGTCTGCTTTCCTAAATTATTAACAAAATGCTTTTGCTAAACCTTATGCATTTAAACTGAAAGTCTAGACTGGAGAGTCTAGTGTCTCACTATCCAAAGACTTAGGGATCTTACTATTTTAGAGGTTTACCAGAGAAAACCAGCTGGGAACCACAGGGCAACGTCCTTAAGAGACATTAATATCCCTTTTCCACCAATCTAGAACTAATGCCAGAAAGCTGGCACTGGCACAGCACCACAAATTGCCAGGCTAATGTCAGAGGAGATGCCATAATAAATAGTTTGTGTCTGCCATGATTTTACTGCAACTTCTAATAATTACAGCATAGTAACCTTTCAAATTGTCGGCTGTTTCTCAAAAGGCATCAACATAGAACAGGCTTATATTTGGTGGAAAAGGCATTTGTGAAAGTTTTGATTTAATCCCTCAAGGTTGAAATCTTTACTTCCGACTGTCCTGTCTGAGGACCACCTTTAAACATCTAAAGTTTAAGGTGTCTGGATGAATTCACAATCAAATGTTATAATGTTGAGAAGGTGAAAAAAAAGTAAAACCAAATGTATTTTTTAATTAATTCATTGTTAGTAAATTTTATGTTTCCGATGTGATCTCTTCTACTCCAGGCAGAGCAAACGTCTCAGAAACGCAGCTGGCGTTTGCTTCTACTCTTACCAAAACGTGGACCCAGAGCCTTCAGCAGTTTCTGCTCAGCTCTTCAATATACTGAACAGACACACCTCTACGACCTGCTCATAAAATCACCAGAGAAAGATGGCAGAGAGACACACACAGATGTGAGTGTGTACTTGACATCAACCATACACATGTCGCACAGCAGCAGTATAAACAGCAGATTTAGTGCAGTTCTTAGACTGCTTTCTGCTCACAGAGTTTTCAGCCTGAGGAGGAGCCACAGGAGAAGGCAGGGCAGCTGGTTATGGAAAGAACAAAAAAGAAGAGAGAGGTGAGCTTGCCTATGATTATCGAAGGCAATGTCACTCTTGGCATTTTTGAAGTAGAAGACATCATTGCATCATTGAACGCCTTTCATGCCTCTTTAATAGATTTTTCTTTAATTATAAATGCTAAGATTATATAGAGTAATATTTTGGGAATTGTAAGCTTCAGTAACATGATGTTTGGCAGGCATCTTCAGAAGACAGAGAGGAAATGTATGAGGTGAGCAGCACCTCATCATTCCCAGTCCAGGCATCAGATAGCTGGCCTGGCTCAGAGTCATCAGTCAGAGACTTACCCACAGTCAGGGCTGAGGACAGGAACAAACAGAGACTGAGGACAAAGAAACGAGGAGCAGATATGCAGACAGATGTGAGAATCACAAAATGCATCCATCTCATTATAT